TAGCCGGTAAAGGTTACCAGTGAGATGGAAGGGCAAGCAAGGAGTCGCGGCGGTGAAGTGAAAAAGTGATGTAAAATCAAACAATGGAGGGAGGTGACGGCAGGAGTGAAAGTCCACGAGTACCGGAGCAGCGCTCTGTGCTGTTGCAGGCAAAGCCGCAGCTGAGTTCATTACTTTGGCCGCTATGAAGCAACAACTCTTCGAGCGTTATTCGGGATGGCATTGTCGTTTCAATCCGAAAGTACGTCAGTTCCTGCCTGCAACCGATATCACAACACCTGACCAATCCAAGCTCCCGGTGCCCCCCTTTGTGTTTTTTGTTCAGGATGTCACACACACACACGCGGACAGACACGAGTACGCACACTTGTTAAGATAGAGACCATGCAGAGCCGACATCTACATGAATGACCATGCACATGAAGGAAGAGGCCGTGGGACGAACCGCAAGCTTTGACATAGCTTGTAAGCTGCCCGACTTCCTTCGCGTCGGCCGCCAAATCTGCAGTTCTCCTCGCACAGTCAGGTCTGGAACCAGGTTCTGAATGGTCTCTGGTCGACCCTCAGCCTTTCCTAGACTTCTTTGTTGTGCTTGAGAGAGATCAAGGCTTCGGAATGCCCGGAGTCGGGGCAAACTTCCATGTCGTCAACCCTCAAACCCAGCACCAGGACTCTTGAGCACGCTCAATATTTTTAGCTTGACAGCCACCTCGGAGCCGGCAGATCAGCCATGGAGGTGGCAGTTCAGTTGGGGCTTAAGCGCCGGAAGTCTCAGGACGCCACAAGCTTTCCTTTGGCAGCATTTGAAGACCTAAACTGCGTCATCATAGATAAGGCTAGGCTAGGCTGGGCATCTTCAGTGTTTTGTTTCCGTTTCAATGGAAGAAAACCCCCCCCCCCCCTGACAGAGAAGCCCAGTGCACGCCTTTCGCTCGAAACACAATTTCAGGGCTGTGCGCACCTCGTTTGGCGGTTGCCGGTTGAAATTCTGTGGGTATTGCTTCCGAGCAGCCAGCCCGACGAAAGCCCACCACGTGAGAACGTGGGATTTTCGGTGGGACCTGGCGTTGGGCAAACGTGGGTTCCCTTTGAAATGACAGAAGACGGCAACATGCCAGAATACCACCTTCTGTTTTGCAAAAATGCTGACAGACAGAGATGTCTGATGTGCGGAGTTGTGCGGAGATGTGGTGGACTAAGAACGTGGAAGTATGTGACAGCACACCGACACCATGCCAAAAGATGGTTCGCCTCTCCTAAAGCCAGGCGAAGAGGCCGATGGCAGCGTTTCACTTTGCGCCCATCAACGAGGCTCTCATGGCCAAAGGAAAGAAGCTTTCGCTTGAAGTTTGAATCCTGCTCTGAGGTGCTGGGACTAGAGCTCGGAACGGGGTTTGGGATATTCAGTTCAAGTCCCCTGTGCTTGACCTAAGTGAGCAGTACGTGCCCGAGCGCTTGAAGCTGAATCGTCAAGGCGGTCTCAAAATGGCAATCCAGCTGCCGACAGCGCACCTTGATGAATCGTTTCACCTTCGATGAAGGGCTGACTCTAAACCGAAAGCTCAAATCCCCCAAGTCTATACCCTGAGCCGTGATGGCATTGTTGATGAGTATACTGTTGCCGTGCTCATTGACTGCCTACCCGAAGGACAACTCCTGCTATGTTGTGCTTTTCGGGCAGGCACACACAGAGCTCGTCCGAGTCAAGGCATCTCCGAAGTTTTGGCGTCTCGCATCTTTTTGTGCTGTTTTTCTCCCAGGTGTATGCGGTTCAACGAACTGGTAAATGGTCTTAGGTATACAGTTTTGGGCCTGCAATCCATGTTGCTTTAACAGGCTCGGGGTGAGGTGTAGGTGCTTCTCTGGTCTCCTAGTGACTCCTATCGTAAGCCAGACGGTAGGATTCTGTTGGTCTGACTTCGCAACCATAAAGTAAGCGTCGAAGCCGTGTGCATGTGTGTGTGTGTGCCCAGATTCTACCCATTGTGGTTTCAATCAGTCTGTGTGTGTGTGTGAGCTGCTGCGGGTACCGTTGTTACGAAGAAGCCTAGCCAAGTCACCGGTCTTGAGCAACCGCAGTTACATGATTCCAACACATGCATTGTGCATCGCCTTCGCGCGAGATGGGTTGCGGATGCAATCATACATCCTCCAGAAGCCAGAAACCAGCACACCTCTGCATCTTACAACCTAACCAGGACTTTTGAACCGCCAGGCTCAAAGCTTTGTAGCGTCCAACCTTGCAGCAGGAGCTCAAGAAAGAGGAGCAGTGTCGACTCCTCTCAAAGAGGGCCTTCCAGAGCCAGCAGGTCTGAACTTGTCTGGGGTTCAGGGGTCAATGCTGTTTCGGGCTGAGCGGCAGGAGCAGGGCAGCTCTGGAGCTTTACAGGCTTTCATGGGTCTCACGGGCCTAGAGCATCGAGTTCAGAGAAGCAGACATCCTGCAGAGCCAGCCGACCGAGCATGTTTTTCGGTACTTGGCTATGCGGCTTAAGACTAATTGCAAAGCCCTGTGCTTCTAACCTTTTTGGACCTGGATGTGGAATCCTAAACCCTAGAAGCCCTGGAGGATGCAATGGCACGCCTCGAATCCCATCGTCTCAGCAGTTCAACAACCTTGACCAACAGCAAGCTGGATAAATGAGGTAGGATCCAGAATTAAGCTTCGAGCACAGATGTTTGGAGCCAAGACACTGGCAGCACACAAAACCCGCAGCAGGAAAATAGAAAGTTACATGCGATCATCGGGACCCTGGAAGGCAGGAAAATAGAAAGTTACATGCGATCATCGGGACCCTGGAAGTGACTAAGTGCAAATATTTGACGCGAGGCGGTCAGTGCCGACTCGCGGCTGAAAGCTGCAGCGGAGGTGCCCCGGACGGGCGTCTTCGAAGATGCAGAGTCTTCTGCAGGTTCAGGAGTTTAGGTTCCGTAGGAAGGGAGGCCCGTACATAGGAGCTTAATAGTCCATTTTTTGCACAACGCAGCGAGCTGTTAGCAGGTTGGCATTGCCTGTTTTGGAGGCTTTTGTGTCCATGGTTTGTGTCTTACGATTTGGAGGTTCAGGGTGAAAGGGTTGAGGTTTGGAACGTGTTTTCGAGGTTTATGGCCGAGGCCGTTCGGTTTTGAAGTTAACGCTGTCTGAAGAGCGAGGGACATCAATCCAAAAAGATCAAACCCTAGCATTGAAGACCACGAGATTTCGGTACAGAAAACTACTCTTTGGGGCCCATACTCCCTTGAATCCGCGACATTTGGCACACTCCTGAGCTACATCTCTAAGCTCTCCAAGTGCGACCTGATACTTCAACATTAGCATTGAGCTTAGTTCGAGGTCATTGGCTTCAGGATATGTGCCTTATAGAGCTAGTCGGATGAGTGAGGTGGCCTTAGCCCGTTCCGGCTCAGCTGAGCGACAGGCGCCGAGAATTCCTTTGTGTTTCTGAGGGGCTTTGTGCAGTGTCATGCATTCATCTTGGAAGCTGTGAGGTGCTAAATGTGCCTGGCACTGCTATACCGCTTGGATAGAGTCAGGGGTGAAAGGAAGATACTGGCAGGAAGTTGGGGGAGGTTTGAGGTAATGGTTCGTGCATTGGACATTACCTACAATGTGTATATCTCATCACTGTAATTGTATATCTCTGGATAGCCAGGTGAATACACTATAGCAAACCCTAAAATATCTGGAAACCGGATTAAGGACAATTAGTGCTGGGATTCAATATACATTACCCTTAAGGATGGAGGCTATTGGGTTTCCAATTTTTGGGCTTCTACTGTACACCTACCGTTACCTGCCTGTAACTACCCGTACATGCCAGGTATGTACGTGCATACATGCACACACGCATTCATGCAGACGTGCATGCCACATTCATGCATTTATACATACCTGCATGTACCTACATACATATATACATACATACATACATACATACATACAAACACATGCATACACATGCAAATACATATCTACCTGCCTGCCCGCCTGCCTGCGTACCTGCGGATGTACGTTCGCATACACACAGATGCACACACACACACATATATATATATAGAGATATACATATACATATATTTATGTACGTATGTATGTATGTATGTATGTATGTACGTATGTACGTATGTACGTATGTACGTATGTACGCATGTATGCATGTATGTATGTATGTATGTGTGTGCATATATATATATTTGTATTTATATGCATGTATGTATGTATGTATGTATGTATGTATGTATGTATGTATGTGTGTATGTGTGTATGTGTGTGTGCACATATGCATGTATGTATGGATGTATGTATGCATGCATGTATGTATGTACGTATGTATGTTGGTATGCATGTATGTATGTATGTATGTATGTATGTAGGTGTGAAGCTCTGCAGTTGCTATCTTCTCGGCTAGCATTTTGGCCGTGTGGGCCGCCACTGGGAGCCACCTGACAGAACCCGCAGAGCAGCCCGCGGCCTGCGGATGTTGCCGCTGAATACCCGAGAGCCTGCATCAGCCAGTCATGTGGCACATCCAGTCCATTCAGCCTGCACCTGCCGCAGCTTGCCTTGTGTCTGTCATGTCTGGCCCACAGCATGGCGTTCTCAGACGCTGCACCAGATTTTGTCCCAGGTGTGTGCCACATGCCGCCGAAGCGTGGCAAAAACGGTGCAGAACGGGGGGATATGCCGAGGCGCCGGAGCGAAGCAGTGCTACCCGGTCCCGTACCGTACCATCACGGCCACCAAGCTCACTACGAGACCTCCCAAGCGATGGCATTTAGGAGTCCTCTGTGGAAACCTGCGAGGAAGGGGCGTGGGCCAAAGACCAGGACCTCGCAAACCTCGGGGCGGGCCTCCACGTGGACACATCTCCGGCCAGGCCGCCAACCAGGCTTCACCAAAGACCTCTTCAGCAACATCTTTGCTCGCACGTCCACCCGGGCCCCCTACGCCACAACGACGATGCTGAGGCCTTGGATGGCGACTACGACCACCACGCATCCTATTTGCCAGTGCCTGCACCCCACAACGCTCTGAGCTCTTCCTCCCAGGACAAAAGGGTGTTGCGTTTCGAGCAGATCACCACTCCAGCTGCACCTGCCGTGCTCTCCCATCCACCGATGCCAATATCAGTGGTGGTTGGTGCAGCAAATCGGGAGTCGAATGCGAATCCTGCGGTGCCAGGCACTGATGCAACCTCAGCTGCTCCAGCCCTGCCGTGACCTGCGATGTAGGCGTCCCTGTGGCCATCCGGAGCCAATGCTAGGAGGCTTTTTGCGGCAGAGCGACACTTCCCTGCGAAATGCACTATCAGATGCACCTCACTCTGTGTGTTGCATGGATGTGACCTGGAGGAATTGATCCAGCCGGGCCTCCAGGCCGTCAAAGCGGCCCTCGCAACACCACTCCTGTGACTCTGGCACCTCCTGTCGCATCTCTACTGCCAAGGTCAAGTCATGGCTGATGAGACGGCATCTGCTTAAATGAAACCTTCGCAACCTGCGCATGTCAGGTATTACGGAGCCAGATCCCACGGCGACTGGACCGGGAGGAAAGGCGATGGTTGCAACCTGGCGATCACTCCAGGACAGCCGGATTCAGGAGAATAAGGTGATGCAGGCAAGAGTGCCGGGAGACACTGAGCAACCTGATCTGCTCCCTAGCACATCCTCGTTGCCACCTCCTGCGCAAGTACCTTTGCCAGGCTCTTGCAGGGTATTTTGAAAGTGCCCGCTACAACATCTATCATTCCAGGAGCCTTGCCGAAGCCAGAACCTATGAGACCGTATTCCCTGTCTTGCCCACCCAAGTCCTTTCTTGAGGCACAGGACCGTTTGGAACCATCCAAACTTGCTGCCCTTCGTGGGCGTGTTCGGCTGCTCGCACCGCTCTGCCTCGCACATGCACAGGGACCGGGCCCAGCCCTTGCCGGTTGTGTGCTTAGTTTGAAGTCAATCTGGACTTCCCTCCCGGCCACACAGGTTCAAGGAGTCGTCGCCTGGCCTGTCGCGATTCAAACTGAGACTGAACCTGGGCCGTGCCATTAAGCTGACATGTCATTGCAGGCGCTGCACACTGCGCAGCCATATGTCGTTTGCAGGGTACCTTGCAGCTCGAGATGTCGGATTCCGTCCATGGGACAAGACAAATGTCGGCTTCGTAATACCGGCCGACCGGAGCAGTGGGCCAGAGACGTTTCGGCTGGGGGGGTCGAGAGTGGTGATGAAGATGCTGAAAGGTCGGACGCCCCCATGGCTGGAGGCACAAAGGTGACTGAAGCGACAACTCCCTCGTCTTCCTCAACCATCTCATATGAGGTTCTCCTCTTCAAGCAAAGGAGCTATATTCGGCTTCTTGACGCTCCGGCGGTTCCAGCACAAACTCCGGGCGTGGTGTCGCCCGACAGCATGGCTGACGCTGTGCCTGGACTCCGTGCCCGCCTGGAGGCCCCAGCCACGTCATCATCTGCCTTTATCCAGGCCTTCGACCGTACTGCTGTGCCACCGCGAAGTTGGTCCCAATACCGACCATGGCCTTGTGACATGCAGAGCAAGGACGGCTGATGGCATCGTATCGTTGGCATGTTACGCCGCCTCTACCTAATTCGCCATGTACACATACACCTACACCTACACCTACACCCACACATACACATACACATACACATACAGGTACATATACATATGGATGCCGTTCTGAACCCCCGCCTCTTGCAGGAAGAGTAGGGTAGGCATTAGGGCTAGTGTCTGAAAGCCACTGCGCGCGCAAGACCGCGCAAGGGCGGGCGCAAGGACTCCTAGCGCCTAGGCATGGTTACTTTCATCTAGAACAACATCCATATACATATATGTACACTCATAGTCTTCATGAGTGTCTGCAGCATAGATTTTGCAACAATTCACTAACTGATGCTGTAGATTTGATTGCACCATGGCACAGTAATGCGCAGCTGTACACTGTACATGCGAACACACACCGAAACAGATCCATGAGAATTTCTCGCCGCTTGCAGGGCAACCCGCTTCAGAATCCGAACACACACCGCTATGCGAAGCCGCAAAGGCAGCTGAAGCACCAGGCTGGCCCAGCAACTCCTGCCAAACACGAAGTTATGCCGGTCTGATTTGAGGATGACCACTGTTTGGGGCCACTGCTACACAGATACAGAATGTCACAGTTTTGAATTCCAAAATGATGTTCCCACATATGTTACTGATCTTCGGCCTGTACTTGTCGGGAGTGTCTTTGTCTCGAGCCAAAGTACCTGAGAGGATTGGTGTTTGTCTAGATCACTGCCGGTTTGCTAAAGACCCGGGTTGATGAGCTTGTGTCATGTGCCTACGATCGCCGCATAGGCTAGACCGCTAGCCTGAAGACACATCGCCCAAGCCCTTCTGAAGTTCCCGAAAGCGAGGTTCTACAAGGTGACGGGCGAGCCAAGATGCTGTCTCGAGTCTTCCTCAACGGGGACTCCCGGGTTTCGAGGGTTTCAGGCTTTACTCACCCGTTCAGTCCCTGGGGTGCAGGGTCGGAGTTCAGGCTGGGAAATGGCACGCTGATTTTATGCGGTCAAGAGATGTGAGATGATGTTGTTCGACTCGATTTTTGTATTCAGCCTTCGATTCAGGGGACTGGAAGCAAGATTTGCAAAGGATGTTGAGTTCTGAGCTGTCCCATGCAGTCTTTCGAAATTAAGCTGTATTCATCTAGCTTGGGCCTCACACCAAGAACCCGCTAGTCCCAACCCCAATGTTCTTGACGAGAGATGAAATGAAAGGGGCACTTCAGGCTTCGAGATCTTGGCATGGATGTGATGAGTCTCGGCCGGATGTCCTACAAGAGCGCAACCTTCGCAGGAATGGACCTATTGTGCCTGAGGGTCGAGGCCACCGAGGCGGCCTTCATCTTATCTTCTTCAACCGCGTGAACGCAGTTCAGTGAACTAGGAGACCAACAATCTTGTGATTCAAGGTCATTATTGAGCAATCGTCACTTTTGAGAACTAGAGCCGCAGTTTTGGAGTTGTGATTGCATGCGGATCTGCAAAGATCCCTGACGCTGAAGACTGCGTGCAGAACGAAGCTAGATGGGCTTTTGCAAAGTTGGACTTCATGCATGATATTCATGGTTGCAGACCCGGAGCATCTTGGAGTATGGGCACTGTGCAATTACACAACCCGCGACTGCAACACATGTATGACTTCGCGGAAGAGCGTTATTGACTCATTCTAAAAGCCACGCGCCAGGCACTGAGACTGAGCTGGCAGAGTTTCACGAATTTAGCCCCTGACCAGTCGCACTGGAGGCAAGAGAAAGACAGTGGAATCACCTGATGTGAGGGTCAGGGATCGTCGCAAAGCCCAAAATCCCTCGCAGCCTCAATAATTGCTCCATAATCCAGTAAGTCCCAGACTGAGATGGTTATACCTGAAACCTGAAGGCTGGCCGAAACCAGCTACATGTTCATGGCTCTTCGTGCATGTCCTTTGACTTTGATTGAGTCGCCTCAGAGGCTCACGGCTCACCTGCTCTTAAAGATAGCGTAGCTTATGCGATAGATTGGACCTACGTTCAAGCCGTGTCTCCATGTCCATGACTGCCACATCCAAGACCATCGCGCATCGAAGCTCCACTACTACGCTCAGTTGAGCTTCATTAACCGCTGCCGAAGTTCGCGACACTTCAGCCTCAACCTTCACATCCATCCAAAGCCCGAAGCTCGTGATTCTGCACAGATCGTTCCAAATCTTTAGTCCTGAACCCTGCAAGCCTCATCCCGGAACAGCTTCTTGCAGTCATGGAAGCGGAGAAGTCGCCAGTGGCTGCCTTCCCGCTGAGCTACGTGAGCTCGCAATGGTCTTTCCGCAGCCCGAAAAGCAAACAGGGGCGTTTTAGGCCTGCAGGGGTAGCATGAACTCTCACAATGTTTTCATTGCAAACTGCGAGCAACGTGAAAGCATATGAAGAGCGGGTAGACAAGCGCTCTTCCATTTTTTGCTGTCGCAGTCAAGCTGTTTAAGACGCTCACCTCACAAGCGTTTTGCCTTGCTTGGCGTTTTGCATATTATATAAGATCCAGCATCCCGCAACTCTCCACCGGGATCAATTCCTGGTACTGTTAGTGATGCTGTTCTTACTATAGTATAATGTAGTTCTATGCATGTTGTCGCTGCCTGATAGGGCATGATGGTGGAGGTGCGATGGATGGCGGTCAGTGGTGATGATGGTGATGGCGAGGGATGACGATCACAACGCTGGTGAAAGCCATGACCCCTATCCCTATCCTGACCAATCTTCATCATGCTCATCACCGCCGCTATTAGAAGCAATGTAACTGCCATCGCATCTGGTTGCTGTCCTTGTCGTGTGTCTGTTGCTGTACCCAGTCCCCTGCTATCCCATCAAATTACCTTCCATATTTGTTGCTGGTATTCTTGCTGGTACTGCAGGGGCTGCTTCTACATACTGCTGCGGTTACTCTTGCTGCAAGATATTGATCATACCTATTCCCCCTCTTTGCTGCTCTGCTTTAGTTCTGGTGAACAACATGCATAATTTGCAAGAAGGTATTTCCACGTATGCCTTTGCGACTCCTTCCAGGCAACCCTGAACCTCCGGTGAGAGACCTTGCAAGCAGTTGCAAAGCAATGAGGCTCTCATCTCCGAAGGACTTTAGCCAAAGCAAAGGAGGACACCGAGCACCTCGAGTGGCCCGCGCCCAAGCCGGCACGTTGCTGGAATCCAGGATCAGTGTCAATCGCGATTGGGGGCTGAGTTCGAGAGTTGCGGCCGTTGCAGTAAAGTTTCGAAGTTGTAGTCGACAGCTACGGGTTGGCAAGAGACCGGCTGACCACCCTTCAATGAGATTCTGCGAGCTTGCATTCTCCGGCTTCATACAGTCTGCTGAGGATTGCGGAGCCTCTCGATGACTCGTAATTCCAGATGCCAATCCGACTAGCTGGCTTTGGGAGGTAATCGTAGCAGTAGTAGTAGTAGTAGTAGTAGCAGTAGTACTACTACTACTACTACTACTACAACTAGTACTACCACTACTACTACTACTACTGCTGCTGCTGCTGCTGCTGCTGCTACTGCTACTGCTACTGCTACTGCTACTGCTACTGCTACTACTACTACTACTACTACCACCACCTAGATTTGATATTTGCCTCTACTCCTCCTCTTCCCTTTGTTGCTGGACGGACGACGACCAGTACATGCCCTGAGCTAGCACCTGGCATGCAGCAGTAATGCTACAGCAGCAGTCACCGGAGGTACCTGCCTGCAGTTGAGGAGTACAAAAGGCTGGAGCTCGCTCACATGGGCGAGGCATCCGGACCCTGGAACCGCCGAGTCCTGAAGAGTTTGTCTTTTCATTGTGTGAATCGCGACACTGCCCGAATATTCCTCGGCGTAGTCTCGACCTCAAGCTGAGGTTGGTGATGTTTTTGCAGAGCAGCGGCATGTGCGCAGGACATGCTTCGAGCCCCATACCCAAACCCTGAATCCAGAACAGGACATTCAACAAATGATGATTTAGCTTCGAATCGTCTGAGCATGAGGGGCTAACAGCAAATCTAGGGTCTTGTGGCCGCCACATCCTCAGAATTACAAGGAGACAATGTCAGACAGAGGAAGATGATGCAGGACAGGATGTGGTCATGGTGGTTAACAGTCTGTTGCCACCGGTGAAACCAGAACAGTCAAGCACCGCCTAAGACCGCACCAAGAGCACTACAAGAATACTCGAAGGCCACCCTGCGAACACCCTGAGAACCAATCGAAACCGCCGAAGACTGCCCACTCGAAGACCTTGCACGCGGGAAGTGGTAGTAAATCAACACGGCACCCGCGCGAAGCGAGCATGGCACCACATTGAGAGCAGTACGGCCTGCACAGCATGAACACGATGACAATGATGGCGCCAAATGCGCACGGTACCGGAACGGGAGCCGTGAGCCGGGTGGGAGTGGCATGGGCACAGTGGTGTGACGACAGGCTGTTTGGAAACAATGAGCTTGAATTACTGGATCGATATGGGAGAAGCGCATGATGATGTTGTTGTTGTTGGTGTGTGTGTGT